ATGGCATCCAAGTCAACGTGCATTGGTCGTGAAGGAAAAAAGGGTTGGATCCGTGTTTTGCCGGGGAGTGTCAATGGAGTTGAAGATTGAACGATCAATTCTTGGTTGTTTGCTCAAAATCAACTTCCCCAATTTTCGCGGAGGCATCAATACGACAGTCATCGTCTCATCGGCCGCTGTTCAGAAAGAAGAGTGAAACATCGTCAGAAGTAATACAATGATTTATTATTGTAATATTTGTTTTCGGACCTTAGTTCACTTATTCTTTTTATATGTTGGTGTAACAATAAAGAAATATCAAGCGGCAGATCGGTGTTTTGGTTTTTTCGTCCGTTATAACTAAGCGTTTCTGAAATCTTCAAGGAACAGCGTGGGCCCGAGCGTAGCGAGAGCTGGGCATCAACGGTTTATGATACGTGACTGTCACCTCTTGTTTTTTACCAGCAGTAAGTCTTATAAAATAAGTAGGAGCAAAAGATATTTTATTCAATAAGATCGCAATCAGGCATAACTGATGCACATAGATTCGTGCGTAAAGGTCTCGATGAATTGTAGTAGTTTGGGATACGAGGGTGTGTTGATGTTTGCGGAAAGTAGGACATATACTAATGCAAATTCTTATGCCTACAACTCCCACAGTATCTATTCGTCATAGACCAAAGGCAAATCAAAACATCAAATTGATCATCCAAAGTATGAAATATATTTTGCGTGTAAAGTTGTAGTGCGAGGGTGATTGCCTAATCAGCCACGGATTATGCACGAACGAAAGTAGCAAGACGACGTGTCATATGGCTTGGATGATTGACAGGGAACTGATTTCAACATTGAAGTTCAGAATCCAATGTTGAGTGGTGATTGCTGTAGGCTAATGGTTTTGGCGCACTATCTACCGCCACAGCTGACCCTTTCTAGGAAGGTCGTGCGGACCCTACGATGAAACCAAACGGAATTAGAAGCCTTATGGTGGCGCCATTATTAAAACTCTTCTAGTATGCGTGATGGCAATGAGTTGTCTAATGGTCGTTTACATATGCGTATATGCTATGCGTACATCACTTCATTGGTATGCGTATGTGTCTAGCTTGCCAAAAGTGCGAAGCGGTATTACATACCACAAGTGCCTTGGCAACTTTCTTAATCCAGATGCCAGCGTCTAACACTTCATATAGGTCCGGTTGGACCACCCCAAGAATCTCGTGGATGTACATATATACTGACATGCTTGGTAATTTATGTTATACCCGATTCCTAATTCATGAACCCCATTTATAACAGTCATTTGAAGTGTGATCTTGAATACCTCAGTTGATAAAGCTTCTGTAAGCACACGCTAGTAGGGTTATACTAACATGCAACGACAGTTTAACACGATACTTGAAGAAGTAATCCCCGGGAACGAGTGTGCTAAACAAGTCGCATGAAATTTAGCGGACGACGGATCGAAAATCTTGTGATTCCGATCCCTCATTATTACTGGCCGTGACCAGGAAATCGAAAGTGACTCACCCTTAGACTTGACTGAAAATTAAGGGATTTATACACCTCAGAACATACGCATAATTTTTTCGAGTTCCCAGTGGCTGAATGGTATACGAGCTTGCCTTGTAAGCGGAAGGTCCTGGGTTAGAATCCCAGTGGATGCGTACTGCCGATGATTCCCAAACTAGGATGAAACAGCAGGTGTCCAGTACTCCCTGGATTTCAATGGTCTCTAACTGATATCAATCCGTCATCAACTCGTAAAACATCACTAATCCTTACAAACAAAACTATAGAGAGTTCAAAATATTCCATTCCAAGGCCGTGGTGTCTCACATAGTTCGTGATACTGGTCAGCACAGGCTCTTATTTGCTTGATAATATTGGTGCATCCGTTTTATATTTAATTTATGAACTTATCAATTATTTATGGGGTTAACCGTTATCTGTTTTTTACTCCCGTTTACTGAATGTTGAATTACAATATAGATAGTAAATTTCTGTTATGCAATGTTTCTAACCGATGATGAAAATCGATCGTGCGGTCTCGAGAGTCTGTCTGTCTGTCTGTCTGGATTCAACATAGAACTTGGCACCGAATTGCAGCAGTTCGAGTTGCCACCTTCCAAATAGCACACAGAGGTAGACAAGAAGATGAGTGGAGAGAATCAATACATTCTGAAAAGTATAAGAGTGAAACAGAATGGGTAATGGTAGAGAGGAATATGAAAGATTACAGAGACTGAATACATCTGCGCCATTGACAACGATTTTGAGCCATGTCACCTATTGTCTCCAGCCATTGATTCCTAGAGTCCCGAGGGCCCCAACCCGGGAGTCTGCATCTCCCTACCTGACTCAGTTTAACTGTCAAGGATTTCATGGATTGATGCCATGTTTTTGTTTGGCCACCACTGGCTCTTTTCCAACCTGCACCTATATCAGCTAGCAATGCCCGTCGGGGGAGGCGGTGGTTAGGCATGCGCACCACGTGACCTAGCCATCTTAGTCTATGTGACTTTATAGCCTCGTCGATTGATTTTCCCTCTTTGCCCAACACTCTACGCCTAACGTCAACATTAATTACCTTATTAAACCACCTAACGTGAGACAGAGATCGCAGACATCTATGATCGAAAGCAGTCAACCTTTTCATGTCTTCAACGCGTATTGGCCATGTTTCAGAGCCATAGAGAAGGACAGAGCGAAATGATGAGCAGTACACACGTCCCTTGGTTGATAACCGGATGTCACGCCTACGCCAGAGATGGTGTAAGTCAGCGAAAGCAGCTCGAGCTTTTCGGATCCGTGCTGAGATTTCATCGCCAATCAGTCCGTTGGTGCTAATACAACTTCCCAAATAGGCGAAGTGGTCAACATGTTCTATCACTTCACTCCCTATCACTAAGGAGTTGACGTGGTCCAGTCCTGTAGCAGCATCTTACATTTTGTAGGGGCGAATCGCATGCCAAACATACGAAGATTGCTGCTCAAGGTGTTCAGAAGACTCTGAATTTTGTCATCATCCTCCCCTAACAGGACTATGTCATCTGCATATTCTAAGTCCACAAGATTATTCCTTGGTAACAAGTCGATTCCCAAGTCATTACGTTCAGTTAAGGATACTTCCATCAGCATATCTATGATGAAGTTAAACAGAAATGGGGAAAGTGGACATCCTCGTCGGACACCACTGGTTGTTACCAATTCAGATGACAATTCCCCATAAGCCCTTACACGACTACGTGAGTTTGAATAGAGTGCCTTGATTAGTGCAATGTACTTTCTTGGCACTCCCTTCACAGTCAGACATTTCCATAGTACCTTTCGATCCACGGAGTCGAAGGCCGCCTTCAAGTCAAGAAATATGACAATTGTTGGACGCCGAAAAGTGTGTCTATGTTCTAGAATCTGTCGAAGAGTGAAGATATGATCTATGCACCCTCTACCTGGTCTAAAGCCTCCTTGATTTTCCCTTGTCTGTTCCTCCCGAGTTCTGCTTAGTCTATGCATGATTACTGAGCCTAGGATTTTAGAGACTATGTTCGTTAGGCTGATCCCCCTATGATTATCACACGAGGACTTGTTGCCCTTCTGGAATATCGGTATAATAAGTGACTTACCCCAGTATGATGGTACTGTCTCTGATTCCCAGACTTTGCCTAGTACCTCACTTAATCTACAAACTAGTATGTCACCCACATATTTAAACACCTCCGGAATAATTCCGTCGGGACCTGCCACTTTGCCTCGTTTCAAATTACTGATAGCATTTGTGAACTCACTTACAGACGGCGGAACACTGTCTCGAGAGTCCAGTAATATGGGCATCACTAAGTTCCATTCAGCCTTCCGCTTGGTAATTTGTATGTTATACCCCATTCCTAATTCATGAACCCCATTTATAACAGTCATTCGAAGTATGATCTTGAATACCCTAGTTGATAAAGCTTCTGTAAGCACACGCTAGTAGGGTTATAATTCAGAGCGTCGGTGGCACAGTGGTTAGGACTCTCGTCAACCATGCACATGGTCCGGGGTTCGAGCCCACACCGGCGCACACCTGATATCTATGGTCGGCCTGGGAAATTTGGGCTACCGATATCCACGCTGAAAATTCCATACCTGTACCAAAAATACAGTGTGGAATCAAGCTGTAATCAAAAATCAAATAAAATCAAAAATCAAATGTACTAATGTCCAGTTGTATATTCCTGAAAATCGGTCGGTCAAATACCAAATGCAATTACCATGTAAACATGAGCAGTTTCCTTAGCGACCCCATAAATATTACTGTAAGACTTCTGAATCTGTGTCATCCCAAGCCAACCGTATTACTCTCACTACGGACGTCAATTAAAATTAGGAAAGTGAAGTTTGTCGTTCTACAGTGTTAACCATCGATATTCAAACTCCACTATATGGTTTCAAGATTCCAGTAGTTTGTGTATCACTAGGTTTAATTTTTACTGCTGTCCATTTCTGCAGGCGTCATCGGCTGCACATAGCGTCGCGACACGGCAAATCCAACGCCATAGTGCCGTACGCTCACGTCTATACTTGGTAGCAAGTAAAAAATTCCAGACAAGTCTCGTATTCAACTCGCCAGTCAGATAAAGACTTTGTGGAGTTCAGATTTCCATATTAAGGTGCAGTGTTTAACGCGTACCTAGTAATTCTAAGTTCTGAGCTTACTACATCGTGAAAATTATGGCACATGAGGATTCAGGATGACATCGCTCACTTCTAGATAGTTTCCGTCAGGCTCAGACCACAGTGTCGAGATTTAGACCGCTTAGTTGTTCCTCCCTATGGGTGTTAGTGGTCCCGTGAAGGCAGAAGACCGGTAGATCGCAGGGTAAGGCCGCATCACCCCCTCGTTGATTAGAACATCACGTATAGTAAACCGGGTGTTCGACAGTGAGATTCATGCAGTAGAATGGATAGCCAAGGTTAGTTTCCAATGTTTATTTGGAAATTATATTCGTTGCTGACACGCAGATATCTGCCCAAGTGTGTGAACTTCCCGACTACAGATGGTTTATTCGTGAGTGTGGCGATGGCACACCTATCATTTTGACATACTAAGAATCTCACACCGGGTGTGCTCGATCCGTTCGGATGTATACATTCGTTCTCGCTTTGTCCAGATATTTTGGTGTAGCTAGTGCTGGAAAGCGGATGGCATATAGAGAATTACAGCCAACTGTCTACGTGTATTTAGATAACTCGTTTTGTGTGTCACCTAGGTTTAATAGACTTCCTCCAGTTATTGAGTGTAGAACGTCACTTTCCCCCTTCAGAGTATTGGTGATAGCCAACTTGGACAATCCTGTTTGGTCACACTGTTTGTTTGGTGGTTGTATTGTTAGTTGTAAAGTGGGCAGAATGTGGCAGTGGCTGTTGTTCTTCATGATGGTGACAACAAATTCAAAGTCGTTACATTCGCCGAGTTCACACTTGTTTTGAGAGACTATTTCATCCTATTCATCGTGATGACTGGTGCCCATGGAGACGTAGGGTGGGCATGGAGGCTCTAACTAACTGAGAATGTGCCCGTTTTATCAGTGGGTAACTTCGATGTAATCTATCAGAGTGGCAGAAATGCTATGTAGTTCAACAAGTATGTGCTCGCTAGTTGTGTGGCTGGTTATGGTTTTCAGGCTTAAACTGTCACTAGTGTAGTGATCTACAGGTTGGATATAAATCGTGTTTCGGATAATTTTCTAGGTGTTTTGAGATTGCCAAGTGTTTGGGAATACCAATCAAATGTATCTCCGATACTCTTCGCTTCTGATTATGGGGTCACTGTGTAGTTGAATATTTGGCTGGTAAAGCTATAAATTTAAAATGCCCTTTCCTAACTCGTCAGTGTTAGACTTGGGCTGTATGCCAACCATTCGTTGTGGAATAGTGACCTCAATCGGTGGTAGATTCCTGGCGACTTCATGTGTCATTGGCTGGGCGCTTTCCTTGTGCACCGATAGGATTGGAAAGTAGACCTTGTGGGTATCAAACATAAGAAACAAGTTCGCTATATGTGAACCCACCACTGAGTCCAAAGATTTCAATCACCACCACCCCGTGAAAACCATAATTTCACGTTTTATGAAACATTCTTAAGTCCCATTCCACATCTTGTATAATTCAATTTTCTATCCATTACACGTCACTATTCTCAGCGTTGTTTTGTTCAACTCGTCACATCCTCCCACTGTCCGGGAAACTCAAGTTGGTGTGCAGCTCGTAGGGCAGCTCACTAAAATTTACAAAAAAAACAGACAAAACGTTAAAAAAAATTCATAAAACTTAAAAAAACAAAAAAAACATGGCTGCGACTGCACCTAGTCAGGGGATAATGAACTCTTCTTTGTATGTTGGGGATCTGCATCCGCAGGCTACTGACACCACACTGCAAGCCAAATTTTCGAAGATCGGCCCGGTTCTCAGCGCTCGTATATGCCGAGACTTAGTTACTCGTCAGTCTTTGGGGTACGGCTATGTCAACTTCGTGGATCCTAAGCACGGTAAGTTTCCTTTACGAAAATGAGTTTTGCAGCTGAATGTGCTCTGGAAGTGTTGAACTGTGAGCCTCTAATGGGGCGACCGATAAGGATTATGTGGTCTCAGCGCGATCCATCTTTACGAAAGTCCGGGAAGGGGAATATATTCATTAAAAACTTGGATAAGTCTGTCGTGCAGAAGGAGCTTTACGACACATTCGGCTACTTCGGAAGAATTTTGTCGTGCAAAGTATGTCTTATATACTTAATTATATTATGCTTTAGATCGCAATGGATGAAAACGGCCAATCTAAAGGGTATGGATTTGTACACTTTGAAAAAGAAGAGTGTGCTGAACGTGCTATCGAAAAGATCAACAACAAAATTATTCGTGATCGTGTTGTTTACGTTGGCAAGTTCATACCTAAGGTTGAGCGTAAATCACAAGCCAGGAAGCTAAGGTTTAACAATCTGTACATTAAGAACTTTCCTCCGGAGACTGATGATGAAAAACTGAAACAGATGTTTGCTGAGTTTGGAGAAATCAAAAGTGCATGTGTAATGAAAGATGGCGATGGAAAATCGAAGGGTTTTGGATTTGTGTGTTATCTCGACCCAGATCATGCTGAAAACGCCGTTAAAACTATGCATGGGAAGGAGATTGAAGGGAGAGCTCTTTATTGTGCTCGTGCTCAACGGAAAGAGGAACGCCAGGAAGAGTTGAAGCAAAGACTCGAGAAGCAGCGCGCTGAACGTCAATCGAACTATACGTCAAAAGTTAATTTGTATGTCAAAAACCTAGACGACAACATTGATGACAAACGACTCGCAGAAGCGTTCAGTGCCTTTGGGACCATCACGAGTGCTAAGGTGATGAAAGACGCAAATAATAGGTCCAAAGGTTTCGGTTTTGTCTGCTTTGCCGACCCTTCTCAGACTGCGAAGGCAGTTTCGGAAATGAATGCTACAATTATTGGCTCCAAGCCTCTGTACGTTGCTTTGGCTCAAAGGAAGGAAGATCGTAGAGCACAACTTATAGCAGAACATCAGCAGCGAATGGCACAGTATAGAAGCTCAGTTGGTCAAATAATGCCTGCAGTGCCGGGCCACGCAACACCACACAATTATTTCCCATCTGCATTCCAACAACCACCTAGATTCTACCATCCAACTGGAGCAGTTCTCGGCTCCCAACCCCGCTGGAATCGACCTGGCATACCGGCCCAATTCGGTGCGGTTTCAAACAGGCCACCTGTTGCTGGTCACTATATTGGTGCACACAATCCTGCTGCTATCCCAACGAACATGGCGGCGTTCACTCAACTACGAACGCCCGGTGTCAACCGTCCCATGGTACCAAACGGAATGTCCACAATGCCCACGAATCCTCACTTGCAAAACGCAAATGTCCTAAACCAAGCTGCAAATCAGCAAAGACAACAAGCATCTGGCAGACAAGGAGTGGTTATGCAGCAAATGCTTGCTGGGGCGACTGGAGGTCTGAATCAACGACCGACTGCAGCATCTGTGGTTGCAGGTCCACCGTCTGCTAATTCTGCCGTGCGTGTAAGTTGTTGAACTAGTTAATTCCATTTTGTTAGACCCTTCTCATGATGCTACATGTAGCAAATACGTGAGTTCGTAGTGCCACAGTTTTGTCAGGATGTTTGTTGCTTTGTCACATGCGTCAGTAACTGGTTAACAACAGTGGTATCCACCCCGAGACGCCGTTGATCGTTATGACTGCCTCCATGATCCCATAATTAGAACCGCTTGTTTAAGAGACCTGAACAGGAATTTCAATGGGTACATCTGTTGCTGAAGGTGAGTGGTACGTTCTGAAACAGAAAGAACAAATCACAAGTCATATGCCTCAGTAAATACCATTCATATAAAAATAACGGCAATCAACGGGAACCAGCATCATGTCTCAAAGTCGGGAAAAAAGTGACAATTTTTCAGATTTAATTATTGTTGATATGTGGGGATGTTTATATACTTTTTAGTTGACGTAGAGTTGGAGTCATCACTCGGCACTCTGGCAACAAGCTGCCAGTACATATCTCATCTTTTTCATTGTACAGGTGGCACCGCAAGTTGCAAGGCCTGTGTTGCACTCTGGTATGTCAAACATGCCTGGAACCGCAACAAGCGTCAGATTCAATCAGACAGCGCGTAACGTTTCAGCTCAGCCTGCTCTTGTCCAGGCCGGCAATTTGTCTGCCGTTCTGACTCCGCTTGGTGATCAAGGCCAGCTAACTATAAGCGCCCTCGCCCAGTTGCCTGAAGAAGAACAGAAGAGGACCTTGGGAGAGCATCTTTATCCACGCGTGAAAATGATGTATCCCGAATTGGCCAGTAAACTAACAGGAATGCTTTTATGCGTCGATAACGCGGAGGTCATCAATCTTTTGGAGTCTGAGGAACTACTGAGAGCTAAGGTGAGCAACTGGTTAATGGTCCATATTTATTGTGTCCTCTATAACATTATGCCTGTCAGCAATTTTCTCGAAAAGTTTTCAGGCATGCGCTCACTTGTGTGACACTGTTTTGCCTAAATAGCATTATGCACTAGAACGGTTAAGACTAAGCTGGTAATCTGCTTTTCTTTGATTGTGTAAGTGGAACTGATGTTGGTAATGTTAGTGAAGTAAAGATGTTAATATAATCTCGGCGCGTGGGACTAGTGAAAAGTCCGTTGGTAGAAAGATTGATGAACTAACAGGAATTTCCGATGCCAGATCACTGCCTGTATATCCTGGGCGGGTGTACTGCTCATCAGTCCGCTCCGTCCTCCTTTATGGTTGTGAGACCTGGCCACTGAGAGTGGAAGACATGAAAAGACTAGCTGTGTTTGATCATAGGTGCCTGCGTTCTATTTCCCGTGTGAAGTGGTATAATAAGGTGAGCAATATTGAGGTTAGGCGTCGAGTTCTACGTATTTATTATTATTATTGTATCCTTTAGTTCCTAGAGGAACATAGGGCTTCAGCTGCGCACCTCCATTGACTTCGGTTTTCTGACAACTTTTTCACCCTGCTCCAGGTCTGTCCACATGCTTTCATCTCCTCCTCGCATGACCTCCTCCAAGTCACCCTTGGACGACCAACTCGCCGCCTCCCTTTCGGGTTCCACTCGAGGGCTTGTCTAGTGATGTCACTTGATGGTTTCCTCAGCGTATGGCCAATCCATCTCCATTTCTTTCTGCCTATTTGTTTCACAATCGGTTCCTGATTGGTTCGCTCCCAGAGATCCCTGTTGCTGATCTTTTCTGGCCATCTGATCTTGAGTATTGAGCGGAGACAGTTGTTAATGAAGGTTTGAAGTTTGTTTGAGATGCTCTTTATGACTCGCCAAGTCTCTGATCCGTATAGTAGCACTGACTTCACATTGGAGTTGAAAATCCGGATCTTATTTTTGATGCTGATTGCTGTTGACCTCCACACAGATTTGAGAGTAATGAAAGCTTGTCTTGCTTTTCCGATTCTGGCTTTGATGTCCTCGTCAGTTCCGCCTGTAGTTGAGACGATGCTTCCCAGGTAGGTGAAGGAGGTTGTTTCTTTCAGGTTCTTCCCATTTATGCTTATTGTTGTCTGTTGTTGTTGTTGCTGTTGATGTTGGCTAGGAATCTTCATCATCTCTGTTTTATCTATGTTCACGTGAAGTCCTATCTTTGATGCTTCTTCTGCCAACTTGTTACTTTTCACTTGCATATCTTCCAGTTTATGGGAAATCAGACATATATCATCGGCGAAATCCAGATCCTCCAAGTCTTTTGTGTCAGTCCATTTTATGCCTGTTCCCTCGTTGGTTGCCGTTGTCTGTCGCATTATCCAATCAATTGCAATCAGGAAGATCATTGGTGATAGTAGACAGCCTTGCCTCACTCCCGTCCTCACTTCGAAGGCTTCCGTAAGTTTCCCGTTGTGGATTACTTGGCATGCAGCATTGTCGTATAACTGTTGGATGAGGTGTATAATTGTCGATGGGACCCCGTAGTAGCGAAGTAGTTTCCAAATGACCTCTCGATCGACGCTGTCGAAGGCCTTTTCAAAGTCGATGAAGTTGAGATAGAGAGGTGACTGCCATTCCAAGCTTTGTTCAATGATGATCCGTAGAGTGGCGATTTGATCAATACATGATTTGTTTCTCCTGAATCCAGCCTGTTCCGGACGAAGTTTTTCATCTAGGGCTTGTTTGATTCTCTCCAGGATGATGCGACTTAGTATCTTGCTTGGAATGGACAGAAGCATAATTCCACGCCAGTTTTTACATTGACTTAAGTCTCCTTTCTTTGGAAGTTTGAATAAGTAACTGTTCTTCCAATCCTCGGGTACTTTGCCCTCTTTCCACACCTTCTCCAGTAGTGG